TTGTACATTTAATGACCTTTCATTTCATATATAATTTTTAAATAATTGTCAAAAGGCGTATAAGTTATTACATCAAAAGTTTGTGACAGAACTTATGACCCGACTAAGTATATACCAATGTGTAATTTATGTACAAAAAACCTACATATGTACTTATTTTATTTTTTAATGACAGCTGAGTCATGAGTACAATGTTGTCGACTGTACTGCCAGTGTTGAGTGGTTACCGCAGATTAAAAAGAACCGTCAAACTTTTTGTACCTATAAGTAACTAAACAACATAATATAATAGGTACGTAAAACGGTAATAACAATAATCTGCTAAGCAACACGCATAACTAAACTCGAACTCGATATTTGAATTTGTAAAACACAACTCAAAAATAAGGAAATGATTTATTTAAATTTATTTTTAATTTAAACTAATATGAAATTCGAAGGATCTTACCTTGAGTCGTGTTATGTGCAACAAATATTTATGTATTCTCAATGAGCTATACGTACGTATGTATACCAAGACGGGGAATTCTTTTTAAATTGGTTTATTAAAACTACAAGCCCTTAGGAACTTTGTGGTTGAGGAAAATAACTTTATATATAGACTTACATAAAAATATGACCACATCAAAACAACTTAAAGAATCTATTTTAACCTAGTAAATAACAATCTTTCCACACCTACAAGAGTTCTAAAAATAGTCAAAAAACATTTTCGTCTGAATATTATCGTGGGCGTCGAACCAAAATATACGAAGGCATACTTATTTACAAATTATTCTTATTATATCATAGTAGCATATTAAATAACTATCAATGTACCCATAACGGGATTGTAGATCTTTGCCAAAATCTTCTTCGGACCTTGTTTGCCAAAAATAACGTTTGATATTAATCCAACCCTTATTTTAAACGAGAGTAGAGTATGTGGGATTGTAATAGCTTAATAAAATATTCTTAATTAAACGATAACATTATACCCTAAACTGTTTGATAAGTCACACATGACTACATAGTAATAAATTATAAAATATAGTCGCTTTCTGTCCTTATGAATATTTCATCTATGTATGTGTGCTTATATCTTAAAAACTACGCTACGGATTTTGATGCGGTTTTTTCAATAGATAAAGTGATTAAAGAGTAAGGTCTATGTTTAAAATAACATCCATTAAATTGTGGAGAATTTTTGTATCAGCATAGCTCACAAGCGAAGCGGGGGCGGGTCGCTAGTGTAATATAATACACGTGTCGATCGACTTGTAACCAAACGTCACGTAACTTTATGATATCTTTTTTTTTCAATTCGTGACACTTAACACCAATATAAAAAAGAGTCGTACCATTGTATGGTTGTGTCATCACTTTTGAAAATGTGTCAAAAGTGACTCGATAAAATTATCGCCTCCTACCCATTCCATATAGCTATTGTTTTCTTGCTTCTAATGTAAGTTAATACTTAATAGTCATTTGAAACCCTTTATCCAGTAAGTAACACACTGAGGTTTATTCTATTTGTCTCCATTCACTACCGACACGAGGCTCTACGAAGGAACCTTGGTACTTGATTCATAGCCTTGTTTACCTTGACATTGGCCAAATACACTCGACAAGGAAATTACTGATACAGCCATGACAAATACAAACAAAAAACAAATCTAAACTTTCCAACTCATTTAAAAGAAAATTGTTAATTTGTTTCTTGCTAACGTTTAATTAAGGTCGTTAATATGTTGTTAACTACTTCATTGTGAGAAAAAAAAAACGTCCTTCCATTTGATTGGTCGGTTTGAAGATGGAATTGAAACAGTATACATATACATTTGGAGGGTTTAATTTTCGTCGTTGTCGCTCACTTAAACTTAGATTTATTGAGACTTTAATTTATAATTTAACATTCTGTGTAGTATTTATTAACTTGAGCATTCAGTCCATCAATTATTTCAACAGGTCATCGACCTACCATCGTTTAAGAACTGCGCTCAGTCCGTATTAAAGGAACCCTAAAAATAATCGTCTGAGAATTTATCGCAGACCTTAGGTATTTTTACTGATGACTGATTACTTATAAAGAATATATTCAGAGAATTCTTGTAAGCATCCTTTTTGTTTCCGGTTAGTGAAATACAACAGAAGTATTTAGGTAGCTATTGCTAACCTTGAGGGAAAGAGATAGCATTAGACGTGGCGATAGCTTTATTTGAGTGGTGTTTGAGCATTCTTCCTTATATATTTTTCAATAATATATTATTTAAAAAAAATTAATAGTTGTCGTTCTTTCTATTTCTCAGTCTCGTTAAAACTCGAAAACAGCTGAACCGATTTGACTTATTTCAATCTTGAAATATTTGTAAAAGTAAGGTCTAAGCATTGAGAAAATATGAAAGATTTAAATTACTAGTTTAGGACTAAAAAGAGTAAAAAGACAATTTTCTTTCACCATGTAAACGGCTCTATGTATAACATTAGATAAATTTCATAGAACAAACCTGTCATTATTATGAATAGCTTATTCTAAAGTGGTATTGACTTCGCTAGTTTTCATTAAACTTAGATCTTTGGTTTTAATTGTATGTTTTTGTCATCGTCAAGTCTTCCAACGTAGGTACGTTGGAAGACTTGACGATGAAACTTATTATATCTTATTTAAAGTTTTAAATATATACTTATATAAATTAGCCACTTTTCCTTTAATCCGGGTAATATCGCCACCTAACTTTCGAGCACGCAGTAAGATCAACACCTACGCAAGTTCTCGAGCAGTTAACAATACATTTTGTTCGTCCCTGATCCATTGAAAGGAAGTGTGAACATTAAACACCAAGTTTTCCTACTTGAACTATAACTATTGTATAGTATTATTCAGCTAGCTACGTTGTTGTTATTATAAACAGCTATTGTTAAGGCCCTAATCGATTCCTGCAAATTAAACTGACCTTTCAAGTCTAAGGTTTCGTTTTCAACCGTCTCGGTCAAAGCGTAGTGCACAATAAATGTCTAAGTCTAGAATAGAAAGAAAATTGGAGTGCCCACATCAACCTGATTATCTTTCCACGAAGGCTATTGAAGAAATTGTCCACTTAAGTATGCTGCTTTAAGTTCTTTGTGTTGCATGGATAATTCCGTTTGCTAACGTGTATTGAATATCGTTTGAAATTTTTCAATATAAATATAATTCGCGTGGCTTCGCTCACGAATTTGTTTTTCTATCTTTCTCGCCGGCAACCTCCTTGAGTTCACAAATATTTTAAAAATTTAAATTAGTCCAGTCGGTCCAGCTGGTCCCGAGTCATATAAAAAGACCTGGAGAGTTTTTTATATTAGTACTTATCGTTAGAAATCTTAAAGGTAGTTTTAACAATGGGATTAGTTTCTCTATTCTAGTCATAAATATGACTTTTTTCTCAGGGGAAAATTATCTTTTTTATGTTGTATAACCATTTTTTTTTTGTTTCATGTTTATACACTTGTTTTATTTTGTGTCTTATGTGCGTCCTTTTCTTTCTTTCTTTCTTTCTATATCTCCAGTGTGAGGCGAAAGCGAGTGTCAGAATCTTACTGACTAAAATTCCCTTCCTTCTGCTTTAGACCAAAGCTTGCCCCGCAACCCCAGCTGAAGACAAATTGCTTAAGTCTTCTTTTTATTTCACTAAATGATATCCACATTCTTGGCTAAGGATATTCATTAGCATTAGTTTCAAGGTGTCTTCGAAGTCTGTCTCTAGGCCAATTACATATTAGAAGGTACTTATACTTACTACGACTAATGATTAGCAATATCTATGTCCTTGCTTATCGTACGATCGTAAGTAACCATTATAAAAGTATAATAAATATTTCTGCATAGAGTTTATTTTTATATTTTCCGTTTTGTCTTGAAAGTTCTGCTTTTCGTAGCAGTAAAGACTCAAACACCATTGATATCATACAACGTTTCTAAAGTTATATATTTACCGCGGTCTTGGTCTTGAGCAGGGGTACTTTTTTTGTCAGTTAGAATCGTAACACTGCCTTTTCGCCCCACTCAGAGACATTTGGTGACTTTTCCACACCAATAACAAAAACCGCTATAACTATTACGTGTTTATTTTACATTAGCTAGACGTAGACCCTGGACAATGACTGCCGATACGATACGTCGATGACTGTCATTGACATTATTTCGTTACAAAAACAAACGCGAAACAATAGTAACCTTGTACTAATTTCACCGAAGGTGTTATCATATCCGTCATTAATCTGATCAGACACACTGTTCATCGTTAAACTTTATCAAATATTTTACTCTGAAGGTTAAAATTACATCGATTTATGATTAAAAACGTATGAAATTACGACATTTTCGATGATAAAAGACAGTAACGATTGTATGAATGATCAATAGATAAATAATACGTACTTGCTTCATGATCGATTAATTTTGTAATCTAATGAAGGGGAACATCATGGAGTTATGTTTACGCACCCGTTGCACACACCTGGTTTTTTTATCATGTTATGATAACCCTTGTCTTGTTTTTGATGGACGAAATGTTACAGAATGTTCTATGTAAACTAAAGAACCTAATAGAAACCCTAATAAATTAATACGTTTTGATATATTACAGCTGTCATATATCGATGTTTGTCGATTGCTCTACGCACAGACAGGCAGTCTTTTCGTATAAGTATCCAATCCGACGTTTGTTCTCCTACACTCTGCACTCGACTTTCTTTATCTGACTACGCGCATTATAAGGATTGCAGATTCCCAAAATTATTTTAGTGTCAGTTAGGTACTAAGTCTAAAATTATACTTGATTTCCATATTTTAGTCGAGCTATCGCTCTAAACGCTGCCCTTAAAATACTGATATACTTCACTTTTGCGCGTGTTAAAGCTAGTAAACATTGATATATAGGGACTTGTTACTGTAAAAGTGTTGACCTACTTACATCTTCCAAAGAAATAGTAGATTATATTGAGTATCGTACAAAACCTGACATTTATTTCCATTGTTCCAGGTTCCTTAATTGTGGTTGGTTCAGCTTTAGTGGTATGGCTGACGGATTGGGAGTACAAATACTACATCGACCCCGCGCTCAGTATAGTGCTAGTTATCTTGATACTCGCGTCTGTGTGGCCCCTACTCAGGGAGTCCTCGTTAATTCTACTACAAACTGTGCCAACACATATTCAGGTAAGTTTATGGTAAATCTATACTTAATATTATAGAGCTGTAGCGTTTGTTCGTTTGTTTGAACGCAATAATTTCCGAAGGTTGAAATGAACTGGTTCAAATGAAACAATTCTTTTTGTATTCGTTAGTCCATTTATCGAGAAAAGCTATAGCCTATAAAACGTCACGCTACGATCTCTTAAATTTAGTATTGCCAAAAGACATAAGGACTTGCTACTAAAGTGCCATCAGCGGTTTGAGAAACCCATTTTTACCCAAACACCACAAGTTCTGGACGAGCGAATCGTTCGGTACGTACAAATAAATATTACCTATGAAATCATCATAACTTAGCTTTAAATAATTCGCCGCCGAACCAAACAAACTTGTCCCGATTTCTTTCAAATTATCACCAAGAAAATTGACTTGTTAATTAAAAACGGACTACTTTAGTAGTTTCTTTATTTAATAAACACCTTTATTTTAATGGTCTTTATCAGATAATATATATTTTAAGTGTGCTTTCTAAGCAAACAGCAAATAGGATTATGTCAGTACGTGCCTCTTGTCAGAAATGAGTGCCAAAAAAAATACAAAAATATTTGTGCATGAGAGCCTTGACCAATATACAACGGTGTGTATAGATAATTGGAATGATTAATGGTATGTTTTGACAGTTCATAGCATTTTTACAATGTGGCTTAGTCGAAAATGAGTTAAAAAGCTGTTTAGATAAGTGTAACAATACAGAAGCCTTGAAAATTGACAATTTCAGGTGTTGCCTTCCATTGCCAAAAATCATTGTCTGGTTTTATTATTGTTTGTTAGTCTGGTGAAATGCGGAACTCCTATTTCCTCTGTGTTTATTGATACCACAATAAATTGTACTTCCATTCAGCTGACTGGACTTGTGGTTTAGAGAGCAGTGAATGAACTTGAAGTGTATGTTGATTCATAATTAGTTTTTTTTACAACAACAAAAAATCAAACTATGAAAAAATATGACGGCGCGTCGATTATTTAAATTGAATTTTGAAGGAATCACAGTTCATCGGACGAGGGTACAATGAATCGTACTCTGTCGAAACGTCAAACAGTTCTGCGTGCGCATTACGTATGGTTGAGAGCGAGCGCTGTGACTGTCATATGAGACGGATCGCCGACGTCCGTTATTTTTGTAATTTGTCTGATTATAAAATCCTACACCCTGTAAAGACGATGATCGGGATGTTGATGTTTGTACCAACCCTCCGGTGCCTTCAAATATTTTAAACTGAAATTCCTACAAACAGATCAAATATCACAACTAAAAGTAAACAATCAATCAAACAGTTTGGAGTATTCGCTCGTGCTATATTTAAATTTATTGTCGACACGAGCCACTTTCTACGTTGTTAATAAACACTGGTGTTACAATTGTTTGGTTATTGATAAGCTACATAATTCTGACGTTATTTATTTGTTCAGGTGGATGCGATACAGAGGCGCTTGTTGGAAAAAGTCGATGGCGTCCTAGCAGTCCATGAGTTCCATGTGTGGCAGCTAGCTGGGGACAGAATCATCGCTAGTGCTCATATTAGGTAAGCAAACTTTTTCATCACCACATCTTCTCAAAGGTCAAGGTTAAACTTTATCATGAAATTTTCTTGACTTTTTTATGCAAAACAATAAGCACATTTCACCTGTGTCGATAAAAATGTACACGAAAAATAATAGAAATAAAATTCTTTTGACATTGACCTTCGCAGGTCAAGGTCGTCGGTCAAACGCGTGCGATGCCCTGAGATTTTGGTAGACGATTAAATTAGTTTATTGTACTTCTACATAAACGATTCTTGGTTTCATTTGGTTTACTGAAATAGATACGCTGTGTATTATAACTTAAAGATTTAATAAACTTTTGGAATGAAACGTAAAGCTAATTCGCACTAGGCTCTCTGGCTCACTAACTATACAAAAGAATATACGTTTACGAAATTGTACGTAAGTAAGGAATCTATAGAATATAATAATATGTGTTTCAAAGATGAGAGTTGTGGCAAATAAAGTGCATTATGTATATTGCAGAAGATATCTTGCATTCTCCTAAAAGGCCAATTGACATGCACACATATTATCTAAATGTTTCACCTATTTTCGTCACGTTAAGAATACTATGACAATGCGCTATTCCATACCTCTGCGTAAAGACGTATAGAGGTGTACCTGTTTTTATGAATATTACCTCGAAAATGGGAAATTGTCAATTACCTATATCGCTCGCTGCGTAACACACTAAGCATGTTCAACGTGCAAAACGAATGACAAGAGAAGTGTGACAATTTAAAATAGCAGAATAGTGATAAACCTATTTATTTGAAAAAGGGGGTCGAAATGGTGATTTGTAAAAAATGGGAGCGAAAAACAACTTTCGGCGCCAAACGAAGGCTGCATAGTTTTAATGGGAACATCAATAACCTATGCGTTGTGTGTTGGTTGGTCGACTAGACTGCTTTCTTGGTCTAACAACGTATTTATATGTTTCTAATCTCGTTATTTTTACCTAGTGTTTTACTAAGCATTCGGTTGTGCTAGTTTATGAGACGCTAGCTTTTGTTAGCGGCTTCTGCCACGTTTCCAGGATAAAAATTACCTCATATTTTCTCCCGGACTATAATCTATCTCTGTGCCAAATTGCATTAAAATGTATTCAGCGGTTTTTAAGTGAAGGATCAACAAATATATGTATATCTATTATATCATCTGTTATAAACTTTCGCGTTTATTATTTAAGGTTGTCATTGTTTTCACGGTAAAGCATGAATTATTATGATTCCAAAATTCTTCTTTTTCTGCTTGTTGAGTTATTTTATTATCTGATAGCAAAGGTACAATCAACATTTTAGCTCGTTGAAAAGTATTTTTGAGTTGTGAGAGAAACTCTTAGAGACATGTCTTAAAATTCCTTCAGCAAAAATAAAATAATATGCATGATAACACCTCGTTGGTTTATTTAAAATATTTAAATACTAGCGACCCGCCCCCGTTTTTGCACGGGTGCGATGTTATTCCTATTATTTTATTATATTGTATGTTATTATTATACAGATAAAATTACCCCTTCAATAAATCTATCTATTAGAAAAAAACCGCATCATAATCTCTTGAGAAGTTTTAAATACTTCTTATTTAAGCATATAGGGATATAGGGTCTGAGAAAGCGACCTTGTTATATACTATGTAGTGATCAAAACAAAGTTATTTATCATTATCATCAGCCTATAAGTGCCCAATGCAGAGTAAGTCTATGTTATTCGAGTACACTGTTTATTATCTCCTTCGGGGGTATGAGAAGAATGCTTCGGCGATACCCGCCCCTCCGACACATGGGTAATTGGAGGAACACCGGGTTGGTTTTGAGTCAGTAAGAGTCTGACAGTACCCTTCGCCCTTCCCCGAGGGCGGTGGGTCTCCATGAGGATTTTCCAACCCTTGACCAAAAAATAATAAATAAAAAAATACACTGTTTATCAATCCCTTGTCTTTGTAACGAACTACATACTTTTTTGTCAGCGGCTTAAGGAAGCGCTTTTCGTAATGTGCTTAAAATAGGAAAACGTTCCTTGAACATTTGTGTGTCTGTATTTCCTCATTTTCTTTGTGTTTGAAATTAATCACGAACTGTATAAATAAATATGACCACGTTTGCGGTTGAGAAATGGTCACAGTTTTATATGACAGGGAAATAAGGAAGGAAATGTACCTACTAACAAAAGATTAATTTTCATTCTTACTTTTTCCGCCATTATAGTTTATTATTTCAATGTTATTTAAAATATTAATTTGCATTTTATTACTTCTAAGTAATGGGGTAAAACTAAAACATACATTTTGGGTAGAAAGAATAAGAAGTCTGCGATTTTTACTGAAATATCGAATTTGAAACGATGTGAACCGACAGAGAACTGAAGTGGTCGGATAACCGATGATATTGGGGTAAACATGTCTGGAGTAAAGAAAAACGTATTATAGCCTCCAGCTAGGTGATGACTGGTTGGATAAGAAGTGCTGAACTTCGAGCTCAATGGCGTGCAATTGGGGAGACCTAAGTCCAGTCCTAAGTAACAGTTTACGGAAAGGGGCTGACTATGATTATGATGATTCTTATGCCCCTGAAATACTAACCCCCCACAATTCAATTACAACACACTTACTTCTAACCCCAACATCACCTACAAGAGCGCAAAATAGTCAATATCGATGCTACTGCATTGTATTACCAACTTTTATATTTTAAATTTTCATCCTAAATATAACATTTTATTTCTTTGACGTCATTATCAACAACTGCACTGTTTACTCCTTAAATATGAAAAGTGATAGTACCTATTGTAACACAAAACTCTTTGCTCTGTCTTCCGATTGTTTTTGGAATGATTGATGGTAATGAAACATCGATGTTATCCAGTTTTTATAGCTTTTACCGATATGGAATGGATAGCCGAATTCAATTAGTTCAACTGACAGACAGACGTATGTCTCTGTTCTATTTTTAAAAACAATATGTAAATGACCTTTAACCCTTTAGGCGCCTTTTAAAGTACGCGCTCGTGGAAAGTGGCATATAGTATTTTGAGTAGTATGTAAAACAAAGTCGTTTTCTTTTTTAATATAGTGATTGAAGAGAGAGGTTTACTTATATTTGTAAGTAATAAAAAAAATCCATGAAATAGTGGACAAATTTAGTATCAGCATCAACACCCGGGCGGATCGCTAGTATGTTCATACAGTAGAAAAAAGGAAATTAGTTAATATAAATTCCTTCACATTGAGAGTAAACTTTCCTAAAACGAAATAGGTAGGTTATTCCATTCAATGCCACTACTTACGTGACAAAATAAAATAGTAAGAAATCTAGGACAACTTAAGTGCTACTAAAAATACTTGAAAAGAAGTAGGCACGTTTTCTTTAACCTACAGCCTATTTCATAGTATAATGAGGATTTATAATAGTTCAGCTATAACCCATTGAAATTCTTTCCACGAACTTTCTTTTTATTGCGATAAAGGGTTATTTAAAACCTTTTTTCTTTGTAAATTCAGTTAACAACCTCGAGTTAACGTAGGCCTTTCATAAAGGCTAAAACTGCTGGAAATTTGAAATGAGACTACATAATTGTGAACGATCAATTCAAATTTCATGTTCCGTTTTTAAGGACTTTCGGTGTTCAACTCTACATATGAAAAGTGTTTTGTTTTAAAATACGGGTCATGTAGTTCCTCCTTACTGAATTGAAATAAAAAGTTGCATAGGTACATCACTCCAACAAGCGACATTCACATCAAGAATATTTTTTATCACGAAATAAATAATGTCTTCTTAACATCTGGATAACTATTTGAGATGTTAAGTACAATTTTTTTTTTGACCTTGACTTGAAAGTATGTAATTATTGACAAGGTAAATTCAAATTGTTCAACATATAAAAAAAATTGAATTTAACTTGTCAATGTTTTATTTTTAAACATACTCACGTGTGTACTATTCCTATTATTACTCACTATTTAAATGACACGAAGTAATTGATTAAACACCATCTAACATTATTTAGTAATCTACATATTATTCTAACTCAAATTAATAACAACATACCATTGTACAAATCAGCGTCCCATTAAGAACCTGTTTATTGCAAGTGGGTCAAGTACATTATATACTATGTACGATGCATTATATACATACATATATATTCGGAGTTATTTCCTACTCTGCCTGTAGCCTGTAGCCGCGTCAATAACGAGATAAGCAAAGCCTTTTAGTGCAGTCTGATAACGGCGATGAAGAGACAGTGTCAATATACTATACTATGTATAGTTTGTATATAATATTTAATTTGCTCTTTACGTAGGTACAGCTAATCAAACGCCGCGTGTAAAGATTTTTATATCAACTTTGTCAAAGTCACAAAAAAGTATTTACCTACGTATTTTTGAGTTTATTATCGTTGATTTTGTTTCCTTATTCTGTACACAGTCTACAACTTTTTATTCTAACTCTCCTTTAGTTAGCTTGCTGGAAGAGATTTCTGAAGAAGTAAGGTGTGCTTTTGTACCTCGTTCTTTTATTGTTCTTCTTCCCTCACTCTTACTGTGTACATAACTGTTGTAACTGTAACTGTTAAATAAATAAAATATAATTGAACCTGCCTTTAGATTAAGGAGAGCGAAAAGCTGTTCTTAGAATTCTGAAACAATTCAATTACATAACTCTAGGTGTGAAGCTGATTTATTGAATCAATGTATTAGTCTGTGTTTATAAAAATAAGATAGAAAGTGTTTTCTTTGAACTTTTAACACACAAACATATTGTACTTTTTGTAATTGTAAACTACACGTAATAAAAGCCATATGTGCCAAAAATATATCTATCAACATATTTATAGAAATGTGGATTAGGCACAATGTCACAAATGATAACATTAGATATATTAAAAAAAAACATCGTTGCACGTATTTCAAAAACATGTATGACCCGAAAATGAATGTGAATTCGTCTGTAAAAATTGAACAATAATAAGTTGTATTTGTAAACCACACATAATAAAAGCCATATGTGCCAAAAATATATCTATCTATCAACATATTTATAGAAATGTGGATTAGGCACAATGTCACAAATGATAACATTAGATATATTAAAAAAAAACATCGTTGCACGTATTTCAAAAACATGTATGACCCGAAAATGAATGTGAATTCGTCTGTAAAAATTGAACGGTATGTTTTAATACAAAAGCAATTTTCCAGCTCACCCAGTGAAGTTTGTTTTTGAAAAACGTTTCACGAATTGCTTTTGGCATCGAGCCAATCCAAACTAGTCTTTGTCCCAGAATCAATGTCAATGAACCAATGCGCTGGCGCCTTTATTTTACACCGTATGTACGTGTTTTCGCGGGCTTTATTAAATTATTGACCTCCTGTAAATGAAAATTAATAAATCATAATATAATCCAAACTAATATGATAAATGCGAAAGTAACTCTGTCCGTCTCTGTCTTTTCTTCACGTCTAAACTACTGAACCTATTTGTGTGAAATTTCGTACAGACAACTTGGACCTCGAGAAATGACATAGGATAGTTTTTTAACCAAAAATCTACAGGAAGTCACTTGTGATGAATAATGCTTAAGGTTCTGCAAGGATTAATTGTAATTTGTCAATAAATATTCGACAAATACTTCAAGGGCCAAGCGCAATAAGGTACCGCGGCCTCGGCCTGAAAGAGGAGAAAGAGGTTTTATTCAGTAAGAGTATTTCACTCATTAAAAACTCTTGCCTTATCACATTGCACATCACTTCATCGGCCCAATACTGAACATAAGTCCAGAATTGTTCAGATTTTTTCTTCTCCGTTAGTTAATGATGTCTAAATAAACTTCTAAATAGAAACGGAAAATTCATATTGTTTGTTTGCTTGTAAGGTTTCGAGCCTTTAAAACTATGACCTTTCCTCATTGGTTTAATTAAATGTCTATTAATTTTCCTTCCCTTTCTACCCTAGTTCGGACTAGTCTAACATGCAAGAGCAATGGACAAGGCTTTTTTATAGTATAGGTCGGCAAACGAGCAGACGGATTACCTGATGCTAAGCAATCAGCGCCGCCCATGGACACTCGCAACATCAAAGGAGTTGTTGTCGAGTGCGTTGCTGTCATTTTAGGGATAAAGGTTTAAGATATTTAAGGATTGAGAAGAGATAGGGAAGGGGGAGGGATTGGACCTCCGGTAACCTCACTCACGCGGCGAAAAACAACGCTGTGGTTGTTTCACGCCGGTTTTATGTGAGACCGTGTTATCACTCCGGTCGGGCCGACTCATTCGCGCGGAAGTTTGGCTCTAAAAGTTAAGTTAAGGCTTAGGTGTATGTTCACGTATATCCTTCTATTTATTTCTATTCAGCAACCAAATTCGACAAATTCGGAGTAACAATATACACAAAAAAGCCGTTGATCGACGAACGAAAAAAAAATAATATAAACACAACCCCGTTGTATATTTTAAAAAGCGAGAGCAGTAATAACGTGTGTTGAAATAACAATCAATGATAAATGTTCTTTGTTTAAATTATAACGTTATTGTATGAGAATATCGCTGTAAAAACATCTTATTTTCAAACTGAATGCTGTAGCACGTTTTGAACGGCAATAAAGTTATTAAAATGACAATTCAATGGTGTTTTTCAATGTTAATGTGGAGGAAAAGCCAGTTGTAGTACACTTCTAGCCGGCGTGATTTTATGTTTTTAGTATGTATGAGTATTGTCAAGTTTGTATTATAGATAATGTCATGTTGGCCCGGAGGTTAAGGAGCCCGCTTCTCATGCATGAGGGTGTGGGTTCGAAACCTGGCAAGTACCAATGTAACCTTTTCCGAGTTATATGTACCTACTTCCTATGATTAATTATTTAGACACCACTGACATACGGTGGAGGTAAACATCGTGAGGAAACCTGGACTTATAATTTCTAATTATAAGTTTGAAATCGCCAACCCGCATTGAGCAAGCGTGGTGATTAATGCTCTAACCTTTGAAGAAATGAACTTATTCGTTCGTTAAATTTTCTGTGGTGCCCTAGTCAGACAAACCTGTGTTTTCATTTGAAGAACTTAAAATCTAATACATATACGTCTGTATTATCACAAACAGCATATCTAATATTATACAAACAACTAATTGTTTCGCTGCATGTTATAGAAATCGCTGATTATGAAGTCCAAGGTTCAATTCCCGGCTTAGGCAAAAATAATTGCATTTATATAATACCTTGTTAATAACAATTTTACAGTAAAATCACACGATCTAGTAACAGTTTGAGAAATAGGCGACTATATTTTATTCTTTTAGACTGCTTTCTGCAACTCCTTCCCCTGACTGGGGTAAAAAGGGTAACTGCATAAAAGTAGCCCATGTGTTTGTTAAAATTATTATCTATCTCTGTGCTAAATGAAATTAATATCCGTTTATAAGTTTTTTCACATTGGCGTTTATAATATTACCTTTGTAATAGGATTTAGTACAAAGTACGTATGTTTCTAATTATACTTTTTGTTTTTATAGGTGTAGAAATCTATCGGAGTACATGAAAATAGCTGAGAAAGTGAAGGAGTTCTTCCACAACGAGGGCATACACTCAACCACCATACAGCCGGAGTTCGTCGAGCTGCCGCTTGGTGGAAATGAGGTATTTTCACGAAATAAAACTTTAAACTTACACGAATAAGGACTACAATACAATGACAGTTTGAGATAACCATGCAAATGATAAACATATTTTTATGAAAACCAATTTTAATTCCATATTAATAAAGATTAATTTAGAATGAGACACGCTATCTTATATATTTTATCTCCAAAATCATAATTTTGTCATCAAATAAGCCTATGATATAAAGTAATTATTATTCAAACAAGATTATCGTGTCACGAAATAGTAAATATATTAACGATTGCTTATTCGTTACATTATCACGATAACGAAACGGCGGGATATCGATTGTTTGAAAGTCGTTTTTTCCGTTATCTAAATCTCGCTACTTAGTTATCTACATATAGTTATTAAAGAGCATTTTTATTGTTTAAAAATCTAAAAATATTTCTGTACTAAAGGGTTCTAGACTCAATTGATTAAAGGGATTAATAAGTATTAAAATAGAGGGACGTGATTTATATTTTGATTTTTGATCCATGTGTTAGATCTTTTTGGATCGATTGATTTATAATACTTTCATGTTTAAAATCTGAATCTAGCTTCACTGACGAACAGTCTATTATATTTATTTTTACGTTTATAATATATTTGGCATGAATGATGATGACTTCGACTTTGTTTAGGGGTGTTAACAGTAACATACTCTCTCCAAGGAAAAAAGAGAAGCAATTTTTATTGACCTACCGTAAGTTAATGTCTGCCTAGTAACACATGAATTCGTCAATCTCTTAATCCTAATTATATCATTTCTAAGGATATTTGACGATAAGTGACAATTCATTCGAATGTAATAAATAAATTAAAATTAACACGTCGTAGATAGACATCTATTCAATGTAATATTAATAAAATCAATATTACTGTATATTGTATAATAGAATAGAGACATAGACTTATGTTTGATTTGAGTTACACCCTAGAACTAGGTTGATTGAACTATATTCCGTCCCCTTCTGGACATAAGCCTTCCCAATTGGACGTAACTGAGCTCGATGTTCAGCTCTTCTCATCCAACTTCTGCTAGCAACTTAACTTTTATACACATATACAACATTTCAATTCATATATTTTTTGAAGACAAAAATATATCTGACACATGCAAAACCGCATTTTATGTGATAGGTCGGCAAATTAGCACCCTCATTATCTGATGGTGAGCAATCGGCACCGCCTATGAACACCCGTCAGACCAGAGATTGTCGACTTTTTGGGAATTAGGGCTTCAGGTATTCAGGGAAGGATTGGGCTCCGGTAACTTCACTTACATGGCGCAATACAATGATGTGGTTGTTTCATGTCGGTATTCTGTAAGGCCGTGGTATCACTCCGGTGGTGCCGTCCCTTTCGTGCCGAAGCTTGGGACTCCAAAATGGTTTCTTTCTTGTTGCATGACTAATCGCAAGTTTTATTATATTACAGATAATAAGCGGCGCGTCTGCCGAAGCGCCATGCGCGCTCCACTGTCCACCGAACGACCTCTGTCACAACGCGACGTGCTGCGGGCCCAACCAACAGGTGCGTCTTTTACCAGAAGACATTATTTAGTAGCTAGCCACTGCGCCTTAATAACAGTACAAACTTGGATAATCGGGTCCTATAACTAATTCTGCTAAGGTATCTTACAAGCTTTAACATATTAAAATTACAAACCTTCTATACTAATTCTCCAACCTTTCCCCCCTTTTATGCATTGAAAATGAACCACTAATCTGATTTCGTTATAAATAAAACTGTATAAATAAATATAGGTAATATGTAAAATAAAAATAATGTAAAATTTCTATTGTTTAATCTGAAAATTTTAAATAAGTGGTTCAATTCCAAAATTATCCTTTGACTGTCATTTTTTGTAAATGAGTTAAGCTGTAATCTATTTACAATCTAAATTGGTTTTGGGATGATTGTTAAAGTAAATCATTGTACATATTATGTATATTATGTATAAAGTGTAAAGATCGATTTTGAATAAAGTATGTTTAGGACCAAAGATAGTTGTACTAGTATTTAGGGGATCGTCGAGTCTTCTGGATACGAAAATTGGGAACTATGTAAAGAGGAGGTTATGTTTTTATAGCCTTTATTATATAGTTACTGCTGAAGCTGACACTGTTTGTACAAAGCCTGGGCGAGCACAATTTAAGGCATATAATGCAAGTAAATAAACGTACCTTGTTAAACAAATACGCTTCCATCATCGCGTACCCGTTATCGGGCGAAGCGTCTAAAACATTTGTCTATATATCATAAAATACCCATGGACATAATAAACTGGATTTGTGCTATACTATTTGCTTTTTATTTTGAAACCAAACTCGTATATTTTATTTATTTTATAATTCATGTTTTCTTCATTGTCGAATAAAACACAGGGTGTACATTCTTTCACATTTTTAGTTTTATTTTGTTTATCAGACACTTAGCAGTATTATTTGTATTTCAATTACAGTTTTTCACTTTAGAAACGATAAGGGTTCGATAAAATCTTTTTCAAGGAGATGGTCTCACTGAAAGTGGACGAATTGAACAACCCGACCCTCCATCTCCAACGATATCAAGAATGTCGCTGAAAACTGATTTCGATAGATTAATTGTATTTTATATGTATAGAGGATTATATGTGTACGGAAGTTATTTGTTGAATCATATAGTTGTATTATTATTATTACACGTTCATTAAATCATAAGTGATTTTGTATTAATGCCAAATGTTTGTTAACGAGGCTGTGTTCATTTGTTGTAAAAGATTTATAAAAATAGTAAAATGTTTACAATTTATTTGACTTTGATTTCTGTAGAGAGTCAACCTAGCCGTCGCGTCGAGTCGACACTTGTACGAGGAATTTATAGAAATGTTCATATCTTAGTTATATGTTTATTGGTGGCTGATAATATCTAATCTACACTATTATGGAGTTATTACAATATATTATTCACAGTTGGTTGATATGGGCACACACGTAAGGTGGAATGGCTAACACGATCCTAAGCACCCAATTTAACAACCTACTCCTTTCCCCTGGATTATACCTATATTGACTTAACTTGTTTATAAGTGTACATACATAATACTATGTATAACAGTAAGTATGTATACAAAATTGGTGATGTGAAAAAAACTGGATTGCTTTTTACTGGGAGTAGAGCACTTGAGAACATTGGCGTAACTTTATTAATCATTTATGAAGCAGTGAGCAGCTTGTATGATCGATATTGTTGCATATTTTCCAAAGAACTTGTTATCGATTATCTACATGTATTGGCAATGAAAATCGAATGACCACAATATGCTTGCAAAGGTAAAATATTTTATAAAAAAATGGTACTTTTGTAGTCTAATTCTTGTAGATAGATATTGTAATTAGGTATTGTATAAAAGTATATTTACAAGGTTATTGTAAGGAATATTACCTATATATAACACACGTGTACATATTTCAGTACTTAATTGTCTTAGGCATACTCTTATATGTACTTAAACAATAAATAATGACAAATACACAATTTATCAAGTATTTTAGATAAATATCAGTAATGTATGAGCTTAGTTTAGTAGACGCATCAACGATTGATACATTGTTGCTTCGAAAAAACGTACTGGTGTATCGAACATTATAATGTTATCTGCAAAGCCGATAGCTATCAGATATTTGTCTAGATTAGATACACGAGTATGTAGGAAAATAGAGAATTGATACTTATTTGCATATCCATATATATTTCTTCTTTCTCCTAAGCTTAGTGTGGCATTTATAGCGACAGAATTCATGATGTTCTTTAGTATATTTTCAATCTTATGGTTTGGTAATAAAGATGGAAATATACTAAGGAATTTGTGACTCGGCTACCTGTTTCTGTCATAATCAATGTCGGAGACTACCAGGCAATGTCCTGCACACTGACAGCTTGGGTCTAAGAATTATTCTATGGAGGTTATATGGGCGGACCTTTCAAGAATGGAGATGTAAAATTTGTTAAGTAAATAAAGTTGTCTTGAATTTCATTACATTTTCATGGGAATGAGGGCAAGTAATCAAATCAAATGATAAACTGTGGTCGGGAATGTAACAATATTATTATCAGTGGTTCACTTCACAACCACAGAAGATGAAAACATTTTAGTATAGCAGTTTTTACTTACTTATGGGCGGTATTTAACCAGCAGTATCTTCCAGGATGGATACGTTTATGTAAGAACGAAATTGGTCGAGTGAAAGGAAACGTAAAATGACATTTGAGAGATGATAAGCATGAGTATTGAGTGAAAGAAATAAAGTATGATGAAGTAACACGAAGAGTGAAAGAGATAGGCGTATGAGGCAGATTTGTTTAAGATGTGAAAATTGGTAACGAATTTTGAACAGACAAAAAGATGGATAATAATAAACTTCCGTGTGTGTGAAACCAATACCACATACCTATATGTAAATAAATGGGTGTTATCAAAAATCTCTCATAATATGAGCTTTATCAATATTACAGGAGCAAAGCACGCCCTCTCCCACAGTAACGCCGTACCTCTGCAGGCAACGGACCATGGGATCTAGGACAGAATCAATGTGTTCCACGAATGGCGCCGGCGCACCCCGGCAAGCCACCACGTGGAACTTAGAAGCTTTAGAGTGCGGGTTAGTAGAGTAACAACGGATAGCGGATCCGATTATCTAACTATCGATGTTGTTATCGTGACACCCCTCTGTTACTAAGTAAAAATAGATGTCGTATTATTGTATGGTCCACAGTAGTGTTGAAAATGTTTCACTATTATTATTCATTTTTATTGTACCAAAACAAATTCAAAAATAGTTGAATATTTCCAATACTATCTGCGGTAACTTAAGTGTGAGCATGCAATTGTCAATGTTTCCTAGCAACCCAACCTAAAGCCTTCATAAAAAGTTGAAAGAGTACAAATTCTAAACTCTCGCATTTAAATTCGGAGGCTTAATTGGAATTTCTGAAGTATTAATTATTAGTATTTTATTGATGTATTTCTTTAATTAATTAATCTATATTTGCGTTTGCTGACAGATTTTAAAGTACAAATCGAGATCCCAGACTCTTGAATGTTGCATTTTTTTTAAACTTCGTTATAATGCCTCCTTTATTCCTACCTTCTAAAACAGTGATGTGGTCCACTATGATTCCAAAGCTAGATCCTAGGGGACTCTGGTCAACTTATAAATTCACATAATGAAATTAACAATAGATTATAGAAGATCCCAGTGAACCACAGCCATATAGCTCACCCAGTCTGTCGGCAAACAAACAAATTAAACTAGTAATTAAGTATAAATGTAGTTTGATGTTATTTGGCAGCTAATATAAAACAGCAAGACGCAATTGTAAGGGAGTTTAATAAAAGTTTTGATTTTTAGTTCCCTGCTTCCGTCGCCTATGCTGGAAGGTCGGCTCGCGGTCTGACGCTCGGGCCCGACTAAGGACTAACCCCGTCACTTTCACTACACATTAGCTGTGAAATTTAGTTCCATTCATATTTATAATCATTTACCAAAGTATACAAATGTGCCCATTTTTCCACATCAATCGATAATAAAACGTTTTGTCTCGTTTTCCCCCGAGTAATTTGATAAAGACGACAATCTTTTTTAATCATAGTAAGTACTTATATTTTAATCAATTTGTCAAAAATAGATTTGCAAATGTATAAATATGGCTATCTCTGTCTAGTGTTTGTTACTAAGTTGTGTGTAAAAGAGACAGATAGCTTGTATGATGGTGTATCAAAGACGCATCACTATTACAAAACACGATTTTTCTAGTGTGTCATGTAATTTAAACAAACCAGTAAATTGCTGCTGTTATAATTAAAATTCTATAAATCTCGCTACATTACCTACGTTAGGTATAACTTCATTCACTAGTATTGTATTATTCACATTATTTAATTAAGTACTTATCTAACTAAAATTTTTACAAGTGCATAAAATTCATAAATTCATCCAATTTCATTAATTTAACATTTATTACCGAAATTCCAATAAATAATAAACGAAAAATTATCACAATATGTATTGATTAATAAAAATGAAAAAGCGAATTAACTGATTAAAAAATGTGATTAAATCCACGCGATATTGAACTTTAATTCACTGTTAAAAACGTCGACGAAAATGTATCATTTTTATAGATATGTTCAAAGTGTAATTGTAAAACTTATATAAATATTATTTCACATTTTCACAACTAATATGTATGTGTGGGTTGTTTAAACCAAAACATTGTTGTTGAATGTTTTTTCCTATGTGAGTTATATGACATTTATTTTAGAATAGCTAATTTATGTCTTCAAGACTACTAAATAAATTACATATATCACACATGTAACGTACTCAGGCGACTTAAAGATGCTGGTTTATCGTCATAGTGATACAATGTTAAATATAATTTATACCTAATAACTTAATACAACACGGTTCAAATTCAAGTGCACCTTTAATAAAATTGAAATAGTGCACAATGCGCTTTTAAAAAATATTGGATTGTTCCCTAAAGTACAACACGCATATTATAATACTTTGTATCACAAAATAGTCGTTTTCATGGCATTATTTTTTATAATAAATAGTGTTACGAACAATAGGAAATTTACGAGGAAAATGAGGTCAATGAACTGATACTGATCTTCCACGTGAGTGATGCAACACGAGGTAACGATCTTATCTACAGTAAATAGTAATATCTTAATATAATATGTACTCGATAATTATGTTAAGTATTACTTGATAATTTTAAACAAAGCATGCTTGTGCCCTTCGAGTATGTATCGAAAAGCCTTCACATAAAGAGAGGTTGCGTTGCCTTAAAATTAATTTGAAAGATAACTGAAGATTTAATCACGAAAAAATTCGATAGCTTACTGTTATACATTTATTAATTTATCATAATGATTCGTAAAGTAGGTAAGCTAATATTCGTTTAAAAATTTACAAAAACATCTATCCTTATTAATAAGTAAGTAAAGAAAAGTTTTTATTACTTACTTAAAAATGTGATGTAATATTGTAGTTTTAAGTAGTGGCCAAGATGGCTCGCATTTCATAGACAGTGGCGACATAGGACATTTTGCGGGTAATTTTTGCAATAATAAACGTAGTTAGATAATCACAATTTAGCAAAAATTAATTATTGCACGTGAACCCCAAATGTTTGCAATAAGTTTCATGGGATTTGATACCCTAAACTCTGTGGTACTCCGTGCTTTTAGCAATATTTTTAATATTCATAGATAATTGTTTTAGTATCATATCGAAATTATTATTATTAGTTTCATATGAATATTTTGACAAAGTCATCTTATTTATAAAAAGGATTATTTCTTTGTTTTTTTTATTTATTCACAATGACTTTGGATACACTGTAATTCCGATGATGTAAGCAAGTATCTTGAATACAATTGACATGTTCCAAATGAATTATTTTTAATTTGTATCTTATGTTTATAGGAATAAGTTTTATTATGGTTTATGTTCTGAACTCTAAACTGACTGATGAAGCCAGTCAGTACAGGTTTTAACAGATTTTATTGACGAAAAAAAAATGTGTTTTTTTTTTATTTTGATTTGTACAAACTTACTGTGACCACAGACGTCTAAATCTTTTTTTTTTAATAATAATTGTAGATGTTGATTGATAATGAATTATGGATTGCTTAACGCAATTAATAAAAATATGTATTAAAACAAGGTGTCATTTGAATTCCTTTATTTTTAAAGTTCTGCCCCATTTAAATAAAGAACTAGTGACTTTATAGTGCCAGTGTGATTTAAAATTAATTTTACACACATTAAAATTTGTACTCAACTTATTCTACTTAATTTTGTCTTAGATAACACATTTGTACTTATTCTACTTAATTTATGTATTAGATATTAGTCAGCTTGTTTTCTAAGTCAAAATGGACTTTGACATTATTACCTTCTCTGATAGCATCGATGTGTTACGTAGGTACATAACGATTATTATAATTAAGTTCTATATATAATTGTTACTAAGTATTTTCCACGTGTCCATTGTTTCCTTTCTTGTATTTTATTTATCGGACCTGTAAAGAAAGGATGATGGTGCCCTAGCAGGGATAAGTTTTTTGTCACCATTGCTCGTTTCAAAGACGTAATATTCTCTGCCGTTTATCATTTTCATCCGTGTAGTCTCCAAGTTGAATTTAGGGTTCTTTCCAAACAGTGAGTCGTATGGAGGTGGACGGCTATCATCGTGAATCTTTGATGATTTGCCTGCCTTAGACTTCTTCCTCTTAGATTTCTTGGTCTTATTCAGTTTGCCGGAGAGGTAGCGTTTTACGAATATCTGTGAAATGACATAACATACATTAGCAAACATACACAGGTAGGTGTTTTATTTTTGTTCGTATAGGTACCATTAACAAGATGACTGTCTCAATGTAAAACTATATGTGCTTAACAGTAAATCTGTGTAACAAAATGGAAGAAGACTCCAACACTTGGCGACGTGCACTATTAAAAGTGTAGGTACTGTTAAGTTTAAAAGGTTTTCTGTATGTAGTGCAATGGAAAACAAATCATCCTTTTTTAATACAAGAACAGGTTCTTCTACAAGAGCGTAAGTATCGTTTCGTCAGCGTGTTGTAGGTATATCTACACTTACAGCCACCATTAGTCCTAACAGAAAAAAAATAATAAACCGAGTAAATAGGTTGCATATGGGTGGGCATGCTTCGTCACAGGTCGCATAATCGCTTACCATCATGAAAGCGGCCAAATGCTTGCCCAGTACGAAATAAACAGAATTCTGTCTACTGCGTCTAAGGTACAATGTTGGCAGACTAACCTCGGCGCCAAACACAGCGACGGCGGTAGCGGATCCAGCAACCATAACCAAATACGTCATTATAAGATCACTGTTCCGGAGCTTACGGTCCTTGGATTGTAAATCTAGAGGACATATCTTCGTGCTCGGCAGGTCACTGCGCTTCAGAAAGTCAAGGATGCCAGCTTGGAATATCTGGGTTAGTCTGGAATTGTATTGGTAAGAAGTTAGTAATCTGAACCACTGAAGACCTATGTTAGGCTGTGTAGGTAAGTCTTAGGTATAACTATTAGGTATAATGATAATGATGAATCTGAAAAATAAGGAAATAATATGCTTGTTGTTCTTTGAAAAGAGGTGTAGGTACATACTTTTTTTCTTATACGTTATGTTATTAAGCAATTTCTAAAGAATTTGGAATAATGACATAATCTATAAGTATGCCTCACCCGGCAACGTTCCTACGCTAGGTACAAAATTCTTGGGGCTACTATAAGAACGTAGATCTACGCATGACGCAATGTACTTATTTCCGAATGTGTATCGAGGACGAGAAGTTAAAGGACTTGTTGCAACGTGTAGAAAAAAAACAAGTGACAATCTTGTGGAATACTTACACAGGATCGAATAAACTCTTCAGCTTACTGCCTACCGGGTACGCGAACGCCCTCTGTTTCTTCATGAACGCACTAGGAGCCACAACGTAAGTGCATTTATCGGATTCATCCACGTCCTTCTTCGATATGTAGTCATTGTACATCAAGTGGTCTACCACAGTTTGTTCCTTGACCAGCACCGCTTCTTTCTTTACATATTCCAAGAATTCTTTATCGCCACTCACGGATAGAAACCTAGCCTTGCCACTGCTTATCATTGCGTTCAAGAAATATAGGTCTTCGCCTTCCTGTTGGTTAATTTTAATAATATTAGATATTTAAAATGTTATAGCCACATCACCACAAAATAAAGGGCGTTGTCGTTGTGTTTTCAACACTTGAGAGAGCACAAGATAATAACGTGACGCCTTTTAAAAATATTAGCGCAGTCAGTCTTGAAACTGAAGCGAATCATCATCGTCATCGTTATTAAATGTAAGAACAAAACATGTTCCTACTAGGTATTTGTGGCATACATATACATAGGCAACATTTTTTGTTTCATTATAGTCTCTGAAAATCTAACAACAGTAATCGTTATCAGTCAAAAAAGATAGATTATGTAGCTACTTAGCTAGTTTTAAATGTCCGGGGTTGTAAAAAATGTACCGCGGTCCCGGCCAGAACAGGGGAAGGAACCATTCCATCTCCTTCTTTCTAATCTAGTTCCGTTTATAGACAGGAAGAGTCTGACATTCCCTCTCAATCCACCCAGGCCATAAGAAGTAATTTAATGATTTTCCTACCTCAAAAAGGTAGTTATTAAAAACTTACAGTTTTGACAACATGTTCGACCGAGCTTCCAGCTGAAGCGACCCAACGGGTGTTCTTCTGATACAAGTCCCTTGGAGTCTCAATGGCGAGTGTAAACTTGGATAGCGTTAAGAAAGCCGTCAGGTTCGCCGTGTAGAAAGCTGATAGCAAGATCATGAACAACCACCATGTCACGAAAAGGACACGTGTTGTATCTAGAATTATAAAGATAAATATTTAAGTGAGATAGTAAAAATTAAGTAGGTATTAGGTACATTTTATGCAGGGGCTGGGCAAATAGCTGCTGCGCAAACTGTCGCCATTTTGATTTTCGAATGGAACATTTTTGATCTTATCCACACACTGTTCCGGGTCTACCTAAGTCATAGGTCTGATGAGTTTGCGAATTTGCATGTTTATAAGCGTACCCACGACAGTGGAGAAATCCTAGTGAAGGACAACAGCAGACCCGGAGCAACAAATTGCGGATTGCACAACACATGGAGTTGTTTCGTGCTTGAATCGAACCCGCGACACGCCACCGCATCAACAGTGCAGTGAAATGTATAAATCTACTAGCTTTTGTCCGCGACTTCGTTCGTGTGGAAAAGTGACTTCCTGCAGACTTTTGGTGTAAAAAATCCTATGTCCTTTTTCGAGTTCCAAACTATGTCTGTACCAAATTTCACAAAAATCGGTACCTACAGTAATTTAGGCGTGATGAAAAGGGACAGAGTTACTTTAGCTGTTATAATATTAGTTGGGATTTGGATATTAGTTTGGATATCATAGTTTAAAATTAAATAATTACACTATGGAATGAAATAAAACGGCATCCATTACACGTTTCTATCATTACCTGGAAGTGAGCATGTCGTTGATAGGTATTGTTCAAAAAATACGTTATTACTTGTAATGTGTAGTTAAGGCGGACTATTACATTGATTGCATGGTGGCCATTCGGTATGGAAAAATCGTGTAGTCGTTAATGGAAATCGATTCCCATGTTTAACATTTTTTTTACGGTTTCTGAAGTCAAACACCATATAATAAGGTAGGTAAAGGTAGAGAATTTCTGTTCCAAAAAAGGTCAAAAAACTAATTTTTTTTTCAAATAGACCACCTACCTATACCTAGGCACTTTTGAACGTCAAACAAATAAGAATATACCTATGTACGAGTATGTATATATAAAAGTTCAACTTTGGTTGTCAGTTTGTCGATCTGTTTTCTGGTTCGTAATTAATCGCGAAACACTTTATAATCATCATCATCATCATATACCTAACATATTATGACTGGCTGGATCGCAGCAACCGCATGAAGTCGATATATTTACTGCATATACCTAGTATTTTTATCGACTGAGGTAAACAGTGTTAATAAGAGGTGATGCCTGCAGTGACCCGATTCGAAGATGACCTCCATCATCAATTCCTTGGTTCACCTTAATTATTATACACGCATCGACGATATTTTTTCAATAATCCTCTAGGTCGGTAAACTAGGTGCCTTACCTACTAATCATGTCATTAGTTAAACAATCGGCGCCGGTGACAGACGGAAAGCAGGTAAAATTGCATTGCCGGCTTTTGTGTTAAAGGGATTCGAAGATTACATGTGCCTAAAAGTCCTGAAAAGAGATGGTCTATCTCGTTGGTTATCTGCTCAGAAGTATCTATCAAACAGTTCTGAGGAATCTACTGACGGTTTTTAGTTAGTAAGAGCCTGCTACTCTCACACACACAAGGTGAGAGAAGTCATTTAAAAACTAACCCTTCTAAGAAATAAACGCAGAAATCAACTTCAAATAATATAGGAAGATACCTGCCTAAAGATGTCTAAATTCATAAAAATAGACCCGTACGTAGTGTAGCTACGTTTTAGTAATTATACCTAAGAAGAATTAAAGGCAGAAATCAACTTCAAATAATGTAGGTAGGTCTATCTCGTTGGTTATCTGCTCAGAAGTATCTATCAAACAGTTCTGAGGAATCTACTGACGGTTTTTAGTTAGTAAGAGCCTGCTACTCTCACACACACAAGGTGAGAGAAGTCATTTAAAAACTAACCCTTCTAAGAAATAAACGCAGAAATCAACTTCAAATAATATAGGAAGATACCTGCCTAAAGATGTCTAAATTCATAAAAATAGACCCGTACGTAGTGTAGCTACGTTTTAGTAATTATACCTAAGAAGAATTAAAGGCAGAAATCAACTTCAAATAATGTAGGTAGATACCAGCCCAAAGATGTCTAAATTCATAAAAATAGACCGGTACGTACCTACCTACGTTTTAGTAATTATAACATTTTACTGACCTGACACATCAAATTTCATAAAAAGTATTTCTATAGAACACCATTAATCAATCGTGTATCGTGTGCTGTATTTAATAACAATAATCGGGTTGCTCCGACAAATATTTTGACAGCAATCATTAACACCATTTTCATTTGTGATTACTTTTCATGTCGATGTGGCATAGAGAGTTGGAATGGGGTGACAAAAAGTGATAGATTACGTAAACCATTAGTGCGATACGATCTTGTGGTAGGAATTGACCGCAGTTATGAAACTATATCGTAATATTCGTAGGCACCGACATTTTGTTGGTAAAGTTATGAACTTTATCTACATATGTAGGTACCTAATTTAAATAGGTGGGCACCTGTGGGCACTTAGGGTTATTGCGGCGTGATTTCGATCAATTTTTTTTAACTACCTACCTACGTATAATTTTGTAAGTATCTACCTAGTAGTTTTTTTTTCTCGTTAGAATTTTATAAAATAGGTACTTTGATTTCTTGTTTATGTTTTGTTTGTGTTAAGGGTCGGCAAAGTAGCAAACAGTTAACATAGTACCTAAGCAATCGGCACCGCCCTCGTGCACCCGTATCACAAGAGAAGTAATGAGTGCGTTGCCGGCGTTTTGGGATCATGATTTTGGAGATTTATAGATTTAGGCGCAAGTATGAGGAGAGGGGAAGAATTGGGCCTCCAGTAACCTCACTCACACGGCAAAACACAACGCTGTAATGGTTTTACGCCGGGTTTGCCTTCCTAAAATAATTCGTCAGAGTTCCGTATTACGAAATTGACATTTTTTAAGAAGATAGTGTTTGGGGATTTTTGTTTTTCGTTGTAAAAAAATCGTTAATATTTTTTAATTAGTTATTAGTTTCATACCTAGTAAGTTTTTTTTAAATAAACTTTGCCCCACACTAAGATTTTCTCCTGTGTTGTGGGTGAGTTTACAAACATACAATTTCACATACACATGACACCCAGACCCGGAACAACAATTTGGGGATCACTCAAAGAGTTGTTTCGTGCTCGAATCAAACCCACGACACGTTGCATGGCAACTAATTACCCAGCCACCGCACCAACCGTGCAGTCGTAGATAAATACATAGTAACAAGTCAATATAAAAACAGAATACTCACTGGCTTCAGGTGACAAATTGGTGCCCTGCTTGAGAAAGGCGCTGTACACGAACCAAAAGCTTGGTTTTAAGGGGAGAACGCCTTCGTCGTCTGTGATCAGCTTGCTCCGGACTCGAGTGAAGAACGTGATACAGGGCCCGAAGGTTAAGACAGCAGCCAGGACTAGATACCTGGATACATATTTCTTTTGGTTAAGTGGGACATTGTTACTAGTACCTACCTAATAGTACAACTATATATATATATATATATATAACTGTACTTCAATAATTTATATTTGATATTCTGATAGTCTTGACTCTTACCTAATATATAAATACTTGTATAAATACTTAGAGTATGTAAGAAGCTACAATAAATGAAAATGAAGTAACTAAGTTCAAGTTAGTTCTGCGAAAGCTTACACTTATTCAACATACCATACAAGATCGTTAAATGGCGCTAGTAAACCGGAGCCAGCTGCGGATTCTTTGGGCCTCTTCAGCATCATAACCCACACACCTTCGTCCAGGTCTATTGAGAATGACACCTTCTCCCGGTACGGTAGCAATGTTGGTAGAAACGCAACGGCCATATCCACTTTCTTTGGAGGAAATTAAAAATGACATTAGATACTGTTAAGAGCCAACCACTATTTGGCAGATTGATAGGTAGAATAGTTAGAATTAGATATTGATACAAATAACAATTTGGCTGATGTAGTTCGACACGCAGCGTGAAGAACTATAGGGAAATAGCTGACGATCGATGCATGTGACGATGGATTTGTTTGCATATACTTTCCTGTACACAATGATCAATTGTATGCAGTAAGAGAAGAAAGTTTTAAAATGTGGCCAGAGCACTTCGACCAAAGGTCGCTAAGCAAAGGAATCTGGTATCGGACGATCCAACCCAGACAATCTCGAGGCACATGGTTCGGTGAAAGAAATTGTAATGTCTCTTCGGCTTCGATCGGGACATATTCCGTTGAACAGTTTTGCGTTTCTTATGGGTAAAGTTACTTAATCAAATTATCCGGATTGTAACACAGTGGAAGACACATATCATATTCTGATGGAGTGTGTCCGGAACGAGGCCGAACGTCATTCAATAATACCTAGGTACCTCAATGGATGTTGGCAAAAGCAACAGTATTCTTGCGTCAACTCTATCAAAGGATGCAAGAAACTCATATATAAATTAGTTAAGATAACTTTTAGATTGTAAGAATAATTTGTATATTCCGATGAGGGTGGGATAATAAGTTTGTAATTAAACCCTCTAGGTATAATAAAAAGAAAAAAATAACAATAGATAGACTACTTTGATTATTCGTCAAAGCGATCTTAGAGAGGCCGAATCTCTTAAATTTTGGCATTCTCATTAGTAAACACAAAGGACTTTCAATCATTTGATGATATCCTTTTCTGTCTTTCAACGAATATCAAGTGGGATGCTTAACGTAAACACTTATAAAATAACTTACGCTGGTGTTCAGAAGTCCTATTATTGAGTCATCACTGATTTTGGATCCCAATTCGTAGTTCTTTGTAGGTAGTATAATCTCATAAGTGAAATTGAACTTTTTTCGTAAAATATTCATGATGGTGAAAGCCACGCCATAACCGACCACTGTCCCATTTTCAAATTCTGTCGAACTCAGGGGAGTGTTCTGAAAAGGTTTTAAAAATCAGGATTTGGTGATAGAACTAAACTCTTTCACTCATCAAAAGATGAGAAGTCTATGTTAAAGAGCAAGCAAGTCTTTTAATAAAAAGACAAAACAGAGAGCCCGGTATGGCCACTTTGGCCGAATAGGGCAAACTAGGAAAGAATGGGAACATTTTAAAGCCTTTTGGTCCCTAGCCAGAGCGGTTGAATCAAACTTCTGTTGCCCTTCACTGCCACTGCTGAGGTCTGATGGGACGCTGACCGCGGTAAAGTATAGTAAAGTATTTGCGGAGTTTTCGTGTCTAGATGCTGGCTCCCACCTTGACACGCCAGTTTCGCCGTTCCTTGGAGACTGGACAAACAGGTCAAGTAAAGAAAGCATGGAAGCTGGCAAACGTACAGCCTATGCCCAAAACAGGTAGCCGTATTGTGCCAACCCTTACAACTACAGAGCTATCTCGACCACATCCATACTTTGCAAGAGTATCTATAGAGCGTGCCATAAACTCAATAAAAGAATCCAGTGCCAAGCTACTCATAAAAGGCGAAAACAATTGAAGATTGACAAAAGTCAACGGATGAAGTCACAAATCCTACATCATGCAAGTGTAATTTTATCCGCGATTCAACACGGATATAAATAGGTAGATACCCCACGCAATTTAGAAAGCTTATTAGCTTATTTTTTTCCTAATAAAAAACTAGTTTGTTTCAGCAATACCTTTACGAATACCTAACTGATTATCGATACATATTATGTATGTATAAAGTTAATATTTGACACTTACGTTATAAGTCGTAACTTTAATATGTTTCCCATTGACTTCCTTCATCAAACTCATGAAATTAATGTCCTTCTCCACCAACGAATCCGGCGCTAAGATCACAGAAGCAAAAAAGAAGTTAATTACTCTTTAATATTAGTAGTAGGCATATATTATCTACTTAATAAACTCTTAAATATATTGATACTTATTTAGTTTTTTCACCAATATTGAACTGATGCATTATTTCTTTTTTGAAATAATTTTAACCACAAACACAACAACATAAAAACGAGAAACATAAAGACTTTTTAGTATAACAGGCAATTTAAAAAGTCACTAATCACCTTGATAAGTCTCATTGTAAGGTATTTCGCAGAAGGTGGCGTTACATATTGACGATATGATTAGTTCTATGCCAGCCATGGCATAATGACGGTGACATAGGACACATTTGGTGGTCGGTGATCGAATGGCGAGCCAACTGTCGACTGCGAGGATGCGCCATGGACATGGCCTTTCACCACCATTGTCCCCCCAGTAAACCACGTTGGATTAACATTGACATTCAGTGTCGTAATCAATAGCCATATTAATAATGCACAGTGGACGATTTTGCAATGTCATGGAGTTTTTGCATGTTATGCTGTCGGGAAATTCTGGTAACTGGTTCAAATAAGTTGCCATTTTATCAAGGTAGGGTGGAATTATGGCAATTTAAGAAGTATAAAACGAAAAACGCGTGCTATATATACACTAGGTTAGTACCTATAGCTTTGCCTTGGTAACGTTAGTGTAGAGGGCCAATGCTTATAAATAAAGAGGCCTGAAAATAAGGTATACAAACTTCTTAAGTATCCTTGTAGTCGTGAGGCTGCGGTAGGTAATTGCTTTTCAAGCCTTAGGGAGTTGAAAGGTACCTACTTCATATAAATACCACAAATATTCGGCAAAAGAGGGCATTGTGTTGTGTAGGAACACGGAATTAGGTAGGTGAGTTTGTATGCGTGGATCATACGAGGTAACAGCTTTACAAAATATTTTTTCTTTTTAAAATAGAACAGCAAACGACATACTTCGATCACGTTATAGTAAGCAAACCGTGGAGCACGTTGACACCCTCAACGGTTGAGAAAGCCAATTTTGGTTTCACGTTGATTCTCCGTTAGATATGACCTTGAAGGTAGGTATTCAAAACTCCGAATTAGACCTAGGTACTTCCACATGCTGGTTTTTCGTTAAGATAAGTGTGGGTGGAAGAGCCAAGCAGAGCATGAGTGGGTCGGCCCACCGAAGAGATATATACCAAGGCCTCACAGACTCTGGTGTGAAACAACCACAGCGTAGTGTTACCGGTGGCCCAATTCTTGACCTTCCCTATTCCTTCCACTACCTAAATCTCCGGTACCTCAATCTAAAACAGAACTCGTTACTCCTCTGGTGTTACGGGGGTCCATGAGCGGCACCCATAGCTTAACATCAGCTAAAGCCGTCTGTTCGTTTGCAGACTACCAAACAACACATATACATAGGTACAAAAAGATAAATTTAATTTTAATACCTGACGACGATTATCTAACGACTTTGGCACTTATTTAATGACATCGAATCTATCTAGCATTCCTCATTCTAAGTAATTGTTGCGATAAATTCATGTCATGTGTGTAAAGCATGTCCATAGTATTCCATAAAAATATAGAGGTAAATAATCATAGCTCGTTAGTGGGTGACGGCACGACAACACGGTAATATGTCATAGCCCTGTGATCATCATGTACGTCGTTATATGGGACTTGGATGTTCTATATTAAACTAGCGACCCGCCCCAGCTTCGCAAGGATGCAGTGCTGATAATAAAGTTCTCCATTATTTGATGAAAACGTGGGAGAGCCATGTTTTGGTACGAATGGGTCGGTTCGATCAGAGTGATACCACGGCCTCTCAGGAAACTGACGTCAAAGTTATCGCATTATGTTTAGCCGTGTGAATGAGGTTACCGGAGGCCCAATCCTTCCCCTCCCCTAATCCCAAAATCTTCAAATCCGTAATCCCCAAAAGGTCAGCGACGCACTCGTAACTCCTCCGTTTCCATGGGCGGCGCTTATTGCGTACAATCAGGTATTCAGTGTGCTCATTTGTAGACATATCATCACATAAAAAATGGATTTATTATAAATGTAATAAATCTTCCTCTTCAATCACTACCTATATTTATAAAAAACACATCAAATTCCGTTGCGCAGTTTTAAAGATTTAAGCATACATAGGGATATAGGGACAGAGAAAGCGACCTTGTTTTATACTACCTATGTAGTGATTAGGTAGGTACCTAGAACTATCTTCGAAATTCCTTTTTACATCATCATCAGAGTGCCTAGTGCGAATTTGTTTAACGAAAACACGATAGAAATGTTATCACGTTTAGCCCTCAGATTGAGCCGGTTATAGGACAGGTCGATGCCTTTTTGTTTATTTTTAACCAAAATTTCCTAAACAATGAGGTTTCTTAATTCGAACATATATTTCTATTGTTGCTTTTACCTACTACTAAGTTCTAGAGATCCCAAGGTAAAGTGGTTGTAATTAGTGCAAGTACGACTATTTGGACACGCTGTTATAGCAGCGGTAAGACCCCTCTTTGAGGAGTGGCTTTAGAGACGCCATGGCGTCCTCACCTTCCACCTGAAGCAAGTGCTTATCGGGCACGGCAGCTTCGGTAGGTTAGGTTCCTGTTTCGAATCCGGTGGGAGTAAAAGCCAGAGTGTCGTCATTATGAGGACCACCATGAGACGACTCGGTGGCGGGTTGCCCTGCTTGGGCTGAGCACCGCGGTGTCCGGAGTGTCGCCTACTGCGAGAGACGATCGCTGGTCACCGCAAGCGGGGTTCTGCGGACGGCGAGTAAGGGTAGCTCGCCGCCCAACCAAAACAAGACCCCAGCGTAGGTACAGCGCGTAGCGTTCCGCGCGGGCGGCGGGGACCACAGACAGGGCCCTACAGGGCTGATGTTCAGCCCGGGTGCAGGGTAGGCGCAATGTGGCATCGCGGCCTAGAGCAGGAGAAGGAACGGGGGTGCTTTTAATCAGTAAGAATCTGACACTTTCTCTCGTTTTACCCTGGGTGGGAGAAACCATTTTACGATTTTTCCTATAAAAAAAGTGAGACTATTGGCCTAAGTCTGTTCAATATCCAAGTTGGGTAAAATTTACCAGGCCGTTTTTTTTCTAAATCTGCTCAATACGTACCTAATTTCAAGGAGGATGATGTCAAAACTATAGCAATAAAGACACCTTTTTTAAGGTACCCAAACTCCTACTGTACTACCTACGATGTAACATTCACATTTAGGAAGTTATAGTGAACGAGAGAGTAAGGTAGGCACCTAGATGTGCACCTCTACCTGCCGTCCTCTTCGGACAAATCAAGGTGAGGCTTGATACTATATTTTTTTAAATGTTTATTGAACTTCATAATTATGACTTGAATTTAAGTAAGAACTTTTTTGTATTAGTTCCCCTATTATGAACGTGCACCAAACTGTAAACCGTAGTAATAACCCTCATTATAAAATTAAATATTGTTTAGCTACCCATGAAACTGAACAAAGGATACCTAACCATGTTATGTGTTTGCATATTTATTATTCAACTATGTTTACGTATGCGATCTTAAGTGGATTGCATTATTTTACTACAGTTCATAAAAGTTCAAATTATAGACAAAAGCACCTATTTACAAATAAGTAGGTAGGGTAAACGCACCAGTGATGGACAAGGAACCAATAATGGACGAAAAAAAACAAAAACGGCTAGAATAAGGGCGGGAATCAATTTTATTATATTGGCATCACTTTACCATAAACAAAAGTCGTCGAGCTGCCAAAGTTTGACGATTAATTCACTTTCGTTAAAAAACAAAAAAATGGCGTGAGGTGAATTGGTGCTTGGTGTTAGAAAATATAAATTTGAGGCTTTTGTTACGTAAATGGTTAGTGAGGTAGGTATAAAGTTTACTTGTTAATTTATTATTGCTTTATTTGAATCAAATTCTATTTTGTTGGTTGGATTGACCATGAAATCGAGATGAAGACGTACTTACTGTGCTTTTACGCTTGAGGATATGTTTCACATTATTTTGTCGATGTTTATTAATGGTGCACTGAAGTTGAATAGTTGCAATAATGGACAAATGTCCAAACTTGTTTTTTTTATTGTTTGTTGGGATTTTGAATTAATTTTACTCCTTTTTAATTTCTTTATTTAAAGCTAGTTGAGAATTGCAAAAATATTGATGCCTACCAGTAATGGACGCCTGTGTCCATTATTGGGTATTATATAGAAATCCAGTTATGGACATTGAAGCAAAATAACACAGAAATTTTCTTTTATTTTAGAAATGGCGCCTAAAAAAATTATACACCTCAACAAATGGGCTGGGCTATCGAAGCTGTTAGAAAAGGCGCAAAAATATCTGAAGCAGCCAAAAAATTTAACGTGCCTAGAATAACATTACGCAACAAAATCACAGGAATAAGTCCCATAGAGTGTCCAATGGGACCCAGTACCATTTTGTCGAAGGAAGAAGAAAACAATCTAGAAGATTGGATAAAAGATATGGCAAATAAACATACATTCAGTCAACAAAGTATCGGGAATGAATGTTTTTTTATGGTTCCAAATTCGAATTTTTTTTTTATTGTTGTTGATAGATTGGCACAACTGTTTTCCATTTTGGCGCGGAATTTGAGTTGCATCTGTTATTTATATTAAAAACAGTGCTGTTTTTAGTTTTATAATATCTAGTGTGTATTGCGAATTTCATAATGGACAAAAACATCGAACAAAGAGTTTGTCTTAAATTTTGCATCGCCAATGAAATTTCGTATTCGGAGGCACTCAAAATGTTACAGAAGGCTTACGGTGAATCAAAAACACGTGCTTATGAGTGGTACAAAGCGTTCAAAAGCGGTCGAGATGTGATGGAAGATTTGCCTCGTTCTGGTAGGCCATCAACGTCTGCAACTGAAGTTAACATCGCAAAAGTGAAGGAAATAGTGACTGAAAATCCTCATTCAAGTTTGAGAGAGATGGCCGCCGAACTTTCTGTATCTCACGAGTCGATCCGTACCATTTTAACAAATAATTTGGGTATGAAACGTGTTGCCGCTCGGCTAGTCCCAAAAGACCTGAATTTTCTTCAAAAACTAAATCGCATGAAAGTCGCTGAGGACATGCTAGAACGAGTCAATACCGACCCAACATTCATGAAACGCATTGTTACTGGTGACGAGACGTGGGTTTACGAGTTTGACATGCAAACTAGTCAACAAGCTTCGGAATGGCGCCTTCCAACTGAACCAAAACCGAAAAAACCATGTCAAAGTCGATCAAACTCACTCAGAATTCTTGCCCGAAGGTCAAACGGTAAATAAAGAATATTATTTGAGCGTTATGCGGCGTTTAAGAGAACAAATTCGACGAAAAAGGCCAGAAATGTGGAAAGAAAATTCTTGGATTTTGCATCACGATAATGCGCCTTCGCACAAGGCCATCATTGTAAACGATTTTTGTCCAAACACTCAACAAACACCATCGAGTAGTCACCATATTCACCAGATATGGCTCCAGCCGACTTCTTTCTTTTTCCCACACTCAAATTACCCCTTCGTGGCACCCGTTTTCAATCGTTAGAAGATACCGACGAGAGCGCATGTCCATTTTCGGGATTTCTAAGTACATAATATGAATGTTGTTACGACTACAGTTACATTAAAAGCTGATCAAATAAAAGTTAGTCTCATTTTACATTCCAAATTTACTATTCCACAGTTAATTTAACATAGTCTTCTCATGATTCATGTTCATTACTAGGTGTCCATATGTGGTTCCTGTCCATAACTGGTTGTCCATTTTTGGTTCTTGTTTATTACTGGGTGTCCATAACTAGATTTTTGCTGTCCATAACTGGTTAAAAAAATCTTAGTTTTTATTTGTTAATAATATTAAAATCAATTAAAGTGCTGCACATTAAATAAAGCAGAAACATAGAATGAATATAGGACTTCCAATTTCCACTACGTAATGTGTTAAAACTTTCACGGGTATAAGTGAATTTTCTGAAAAACCAAATTTTTTTTCTTAAAGTGTCCATGATTGGGGTATTTACCTTACTTACTTTACTTCTGAATTGTTAAATTATTCTTTTCCTTTCACCTCACCACAGGATCCCGGACCTTTGGAAGGCTTACGAGGGGTTGGAGCCTACTCTCAGAGGTCCATTGAACAATTTGAATTTTAACTTAAATTTACTGTACTGTATGTAATATACCATACCAGCCGTCTATTTTGATTGAATGCACTTAAGGACAATCACCAGTTGCTGCAGAACTATTGTGAAATGATAAAAAATTATAATTTTATGGGTATGGTTTGTTATGGACGAGTAAACATGACACTTTTGGAAATACTATCGCCCCTGCCCTGACCAATATTCATACGTACCTACGAACAAACAGGCAGGAGATGACTGACAAACTTGTAGCGACATCTAGCGCACTACTTTAACAACAGCACCAATCACGTGCAAGAGTCTACATCGCGCTATAAGAGTTTTCCACACAATTAGCACCCATACAGATATCCCGACAACAACCGTCGGGCAGTAGCCCACCAGGCACGAACACCTCGCCTGTTCGGAGGATCCTCCCTTTTCAATGGAGGATGAGGAACTTTCCACCCTGTTCCTCATACCTCTAAACTGGTGACCCCGACGTGATTCCAAATTGGTGACCCCGACCATGAACATCAACGCAGCCTTCGTGCAACTACGTCGAGCTTTCAAGCAGCGAGTCTACAGTCAGCCAGCTTCCATGGCTACAACGGGTTCCCTGACCACCAGCATGCAGCCAACGCGCATTCCTGGTCAGCACCTACAGCCTCATCAGCATCTTCGGCACAGCATACTGCACCGGCCGGTCAGCAAGCAGAGACGTACTCCCTCTCCTGGTCGACGCAGCAGCTAGCCACTCTTCAGCACCTACAGCCTCATCAGAATCTTCGGCACAGCGTATTGCACCGGCCGGTCAGCAAGCAGAGACGTACTCCCTCTCCTGGTCGACGCAGCAGCTAGCCACTCTTCAGCACCTACAGCCTCATCAGCAACTTCGGCACAGCATACTGCACCGGCCGGTCAGCAAGCAGAGACGTACTCCCTCTCCTGGTCGACGCAGCAGCTAGCCACTCTTCAGCACCTACAGCCTCATCAGAAACTTCGGCACAGCATACTGCACCGGCCGGTCAGCAAGCAGAGACGTACTCCCTCTCCTGGTCGACGCAGTAGCTAGCCACTCTTCAGCACTGCACCTCCCGACTCACTGGGCATCTTCGCAGACAGATTCGACGCACTGAAACCATCAACTGGCTCGACAAGACAAGACATTCAGACGACTCAACCTACTAACGACCTCCGGTCTCGGAGGGGAGTGATGTAGCGACATGTAGCGCACTACTTTAACAACAGCACCAATCACGTGCAAGAGTCTACATCGCGCTATAAGAGTTTTCCACACAATTAGCACCCATACAGATATCCCGACAACAACCGTCGGGCAGTAGCCCACCAGGCACGAACACCTCGCCTGTTCGGAGGATCCTCCCTTTTCAATGGAGGATGAGGAACTTTCCACCCTGTTCCTCATACCTCTAAACTGGTGACCCCGACGTGATTCCAAAAACTAAATTAATGGGCCTCCGAAAACGGCCGCTAGCATTTAGCGCCACGGGGGCAACATACGTTGAGCTGCTTAAGGAAGGAGAAGCATCCCACGGCTATCAAAGCAACCCCGGAAGAACGATCTTGAACTCTATCAGCATCTTACTCAGATATATCCTTCCCGAGTCTCCTTTCAACTCCAACTGATTATATCTACATATATATCTATATCCATACTTATATTATAAAGAGGTACAAATTGTAAGTTTGTATATAGGGGGGGGGGGGAGGGGAATCTTTGGAACCGCTGGTCGGAGCCTTTAGTTATGTGTTCAAAAACTTTAGTATAAAATAGTCTATTTTAAAGTAAATAGTATATTTTCCCTTTTTAGGGCTGAAAATCATTAAACGACTGCAACTGTACTGCCGACCGGAATAGTGTTGACAGTCCCGTTTTAGAGTTTAAAAACAACCCCGTTCTTTCTCGTGCTCCGTTCCGACTGGGACCACAGTACCAACATGATTGCGCTAACACCCGTATGTTCCGTACAAAATATATAAATCATAATTCGGTCTATGTACTAAAATAATTTAATAAAACATACTGCACATATTTGGAAAATATTTTGATGCGTAGTTTTCAAATATTTCCTACATTTAATGTACCTACATTACGAGGGGGTTACGATTTCAATTATTTCAAAAATCGAACTAAACAACCTTTAATCGAAATCGAAAGCGGTGTTTATGCTTCTGACCGTTTGACACAGAATAATAAAAATAATATCCATTTTTAATTTTAAATTATATTATGTATTTACTGTTACTTTACTTATGAAATAATAAAAAATCAATTGTTCTGTTATATTTGTTTTGTATCGTGTCTGAAATCATGAATTTATGAACGAAGAAAAGTTTGTCACTGTCAGTACAGTTAATGTCATTTTTATTGTCAAACAAAACGTGATTCGGAATCATAACACAACTTTAGGAAATAATTCTACCTTTATGATTTAGCAATTTGTAATCATGAGAGACGTATTTTTATCTAATTGTGAAAAGAACTTTATAAATAAAGTTGTAGTTGAAGGCCATGTAAGACTATTATTTATTAATCAATTAAACACTACCTCGAAATTTTAAGTTATAACCTCAATCCTGATTTATTTACAGCGTTTAGATGGTAGAACTTATGATGAAAGCAGATCACTGAACATATCTTTTGGATCGGATTATGGAAGCTGTTTGGTTTCATTGGGAGAAACAAAGTATGTATTCTTATTACCACAGTAACTTACACACTATATCACGCTACTTTTTTCTGTCTTATCTATGTTCATATTTGTGGTAAAATGAGCAAAGTTGTAATGTGATATTTATCCATTAATCAATAATTATAAATTTTCCAGGGTACTAGCAAATGTATCATGTGAAGTAGTACAGCCAAAACAAATAAGACCTAATGAAGGAACCATTTACATTAATTTAGAGATAAGTCCCATGGCAGCTCCACAGTTTGAAGCCAATCGGCAGACTGAGTTATCTGTGTACCTCAACAGATTGCTAGAAAAATGTTACAAAGACTCAAAGTGTGTTGACCTAGAGTCCTTGTGCATTGTTGTTGAAGAAAAGGTAATCTTTTGTACTGATTGATGTTTATATTTATCTGATATTGGCAGATAGTCTTTAGAAACAATTATTAATATTTATTTGTGTACAATACATGATAATAACCATTGCAATTGTGTCAAAAAACTGTTTTGAAGGTCAGGCATAATACAGCCAAAGAGTTAAGGCTTAACTTACCAAAGGTTATTGCAACCAAACCACCATGGTTTCATTTTGATTTGAAGAATATGTAGATCATAAGCATATGTATATTATTATAAGAAATTAAAATACAAGCATTTCCACCAAATGCAGTTTTCTTGAAATGATGTTCATACATGACATGTTTATTTGTTTGCTTCCTAATGCTGTAAATGTCCGAAAGTTGTAATATTTATTTTCATACATAATAAATTAATGTCCTATATTTTCCAGGTCTGGTCCCTGCGTGTAGATATTAAAGTTCTAAATCATGATGGAAACATAATAGAATGTGCAAGTATAGCTACCATAACTGCTTTAGCTCACTTCAGGAGGCCAGATGTTACTCGCAGTGGTGACAGTGTCATTATACATGATATTTCTGAGAGAGATCCCATACCTACAGTATTATTCCATTACCCTGTATGCACAACTTATGCTATATTTAATAATGAGTGAGTTTTTATTGCTTTTTTAGTATAAGTAACTGATCTGTAACTGACCTGAATTTTTGAACATGACCCACTTTTAAAACAAATTAACAACACAAAGATAATGATTGCAAACTATATGAATAGTTATTGTAGCTAACTAAAACTTAATTGAAAATATATTTTTATATTTATTCGTAAACTAGCACAAGTCTTTTTCTTTTGCTTATAGTGTGCTACTATCTGACCCCAATTTTCTGGAAGAGCAAGTGTGCACTAGCTTCTCTGAAGAATCGGACACAGCTGGAGGGCTGTTAGTGATCGGAGTGAACCAGTACAAAGAAGTATGTGTTATGAACTTAACTGGGGCTGCTATACAAGGCACCAATCTTCTTAACAAGGCTTTGAGTGGAGCAGGTGACAAGTGCAAAGAAATCGTTGATATGGTGAAGAAAGCAATTGTCCATGATGATACCCTTAGGTTGGTATGAATTTTATACACAACATATCCACAATGATACAAAAAAATATCTCACTCATTTTCAAATGTTGTTGGTTGAAAATAGCATATGCTTCTTTTCAGTTTATTTTATTTATCCTATCTCTGATTGTATAAGGGTAAAAGTTTCTAGTTAGAAAACTTTTTTCTAATAAGAAACTGTTACAACATTAAAGCAGATGAAGCAATCCAAATTATTAAGTTACATTCCTATTATTAATAACAAAAACAAGAATAGTATTTGCATATTTTTTGTGGTATTATGTGTAGAAAATTGTGAAACTAAGTATTATTTAAGTTGTTAAATTAAAATAATAGATTTTCTACAATAATAAACAATCTCCAATATGAACCTTCTCTTTGAAAATATGTTGTTGCTTAGGTATTAAATACTATAAGATTAATTTGATTTGGGTGGAAGTGGGTACTATTTACATAAGTATTTATTTTAATATGTGCATCTCTGCCAACAGTTGTTTGTACATATGTATGTAAAATGATTTTAATCATTACCTACATACACAGTTTTGGCACTTCCTTCTTCAGTTTATTTTTATACTAGGTAACTGTTGAGGAAATTTGAGGGGAAATTATGTATTTCATATTATGTAGCATTATTGTCATCAGTTCTAAGTGTTGTTTATTTTCAGGCAAAAAAGGACAAAGATAAACTTCTCTGATATAATAACTCAAGATCATTTGCTGTGCTTGAGTAAAAAGGATCTGAGTATCAAACTAAAACATTATAACATTGATGATGCAGTGGAAAACGATGAAATGGATGAAGATGATTCTGAGCCAGAACCTAGCAAATATGATGGTCAGTATACATGTCATAAGAAATCACATTTAAAAAGTACTTTATTGTTGTTTAACTACTCGTTTTTTTATAAGGAGTTGCTCATCCTTATTCTTATTGGTTTCTCATTTATTAAAAATACAATGAATTCTAGATAAGGTGAAACTTCTGCTGCTTACATTAGTTTTTTTTAGAAGTATTAGTCAGTTACTTAAAAATGTTATAAATTTACGTAAAATTAAAAAAAATATATACCAGAGCAAATAAAATTGTTCCCTTCTCATGAGCTTTATATTGAGAGGCACAGATGCCTTGTCTTTCTCAGTTAAGTCTTTCTAAAGTTTTACCTGACTACTATTCCTTAAAATACCACTTTTATAAAATTAAATAAAAATATAAATCAATCCTTTTCTTAAACTGCAACTTTCAATCTATTTACTTATTGATTTGAGTAGATTTTTTTTTTTTTCATATAACCTGGGTAAATTGGAAGTAACAATATTTTTTAATTGTTAACAGTTGTGGCATCTATACCTCAAACAGCAGAAATACAAACAAAGAAGGGAGCTTCACAATGGATAGAAATTTCATCAGATTCTGAGGACGACTGAAATAATACACATATGCTTGTTAAATAAAATGTAATAAATTTACATTTTAAAACTTTCTGTTATTATAATCTCTCTTAACAGTTACTATATTAGCCATTGCATGTCCCTCGTCAATTAACAATCATATCATTTGACACTGAAAAGTATTCAACTATAATACAGAAAATATTATCTAACTACATTAGGAAGAAGGCAATAAATAGAAAAGTTCATGCGGATGCTAAATGAAAAAAATGTTGTGGAATTAAAAAATAATACATTGTAAAACATTCACTCATTCAAATTATAAAGAATTTTGCAGGTGTACAATTTGGCATGAAGTAATATACTTCAAATATCTTTGCAATTGATTCTCAATCTTTATCTTAGTTTTATTGTAGAATGCAGATTGAAAATAAGAAGAAATATAAATTCGAAACTATAAATCTACTTATACTATGTTAAATCTACACACTTTCAACTATAATAAATTACAGTCATATCAACATTATTCTACACTGAGTCAGAGTTCATCCCATTTTTCTGGTCTAATTTATTACCATTTGTCTTCACCATATAAATAAAATAAGTCATAATTTCCTTTTCATTCACAGGTAATGACTTAAAATGTTTCTGGATAGCCTGTAAAACAGGAAAAGTCAGTTAAGAACATGTTAATTAATTTTATGAAATATAGTTTTAACAAGACATTTTTAATTGAGTATTTATAACTGAAAATGAAAAAGGACAAAATTAATTAAATACAAATATAGTATAAAACTTACATCAGCTAGTTGAGCTTTGTTAAATCCTGGCCTTGTTGGCACTTTGTAATGTCTTTTATACCTCCTCAGTGTGTTGACTTGTAATTGGAACCAGTCTACTTCAGGTGAATCCATCTCTGCTTCATTGCTATCATCCTCAGAGTCCTTGGGCCTCCTTTGTTTTGTCCTTGCACACTGTATCATTGTTTTATGGTAATCACAAATGTAAGTGTGCCTGGCCTGAAATAACATATGGGGTTCAGTTAGCCAACATAACTATAATTTTGTCCAAGTCACTTATGGTCTTTTAATGATAGTTAAAAATAAATAAAAATGTGTGGCACTTACTTGAGGGTCAATGTTAAGCTTCAGCCTTCTTTGGGCGACAGTCTTTTGTATGCGTTTGCTGTACGAGGCGTTGCCTGCTGGTCGCCTGCAGCTCTCGCCGTCATCCATAAGGCAACATATTTGGTCAGAATTACCTCTGGAATCTTCTTCTCCTGTACTAAACCCGTTGTTCATTTGATACTCCCGTTGAATCATATATAACGAATAAAGTAAACTCTTCGATTACACCCCGCACCAGGCGATTGAAAACAGTTCGACGTATTCACAATGATACACGATTGAGGTTATGATTTATAACAACACAGAACATTTGCACCAAATAAATCAATTAAATCCATCACAACAAATGCGGGTTCAAACTTCGATCACTATACGACAATAGTAATTCTTTATTCACTGCACATATGCAACAAATTGTACATTGCTTCTTCGTAACTGCTCAAACGCTTTATTAGACTAGTATTTTATTCTTGAATAAGACAATTATTAACATCACTTTTCTAGCTCGCACGCATTTACAATATTCTCAGTGCTTTTATGAAACTCTCACTAAGCCGCCTTATAAAAAGTGACTCGTATCCGCACCGACTCCAAATAATGGCATCGCCATTACAATTTTATTATTACAAGTTCGTCATTTCATTCACTCACTCACTCACTTACTTCAAGTTGCGGATCGTCTATGAAATACGGCATTATGGAAATAGAGAATAACACCTAATTTAGCGTAACACGATAAGAACCGCGAAACGAAAACAGTTCCTCGGTGAATGTGTGCATGAACACAATATGACAACGTATCTATGTATTGTAGTATAAACAAAAAATAAAGCTAAGACTAGCTCAGTTATTGGCTGAAAAATGGCGGGGTATTTAATTTGGCCCAATCAGACTGTTTTGTCACTGACATCGTCTGTTCATGTATTCATTACGACGTGCACAGCAAAGTTCCCTACGTAATAAGCGCTGAAATCGTGTGCTCATTTTTAATAAACACAATACTCGGTGAGTTTGACAATTTCCTTCAATAATAATGTTAGTTAAACTAAAAACTAAAAGTGGTGTTACGTAAATTGTTTCTGTGAATTAAAAGGTTTCAGTATTATGCCCAAAGCGATATTTATAGTTTAACATTCTAATTTTGTAAGCAAATGGCTGCCGAGTGCCGAAGTACTGTGACAGCAGATACTACACGTACACACACAGCTGTATATCGGTGTATGTATACATAACAATGTCATAGGTAAGTAATAGGTATAGTACCTATCATAGTTCGTTATGACAAGATGATCGTGATTATCATCAATAGAAAGATTCGAACATAATAAGGTGTATGAGAGAATGAATATTTTGGTATTATTGTAAAAGAACGTATCGTAGATATATATATATAGGTACAGATAAGCAAATATAAACATTGACTGTGTGAAAAATGATATCTTGATAGTAGCGCGTAGAATATTTTTGTACCTTGATACATATTACTAGACAATAAATGAGAACTTCGTCTGTACTTATTTGTTGTTTAAAAGTTGAGTTTATTTAGAAAGCTTCAAAATTATAGATTTCTTTCTGAAAAGTAAAAGCATTATTTTATAGATAAATAAAACCGAAGGTCTGATGATAGCGTAGGTTTTTATAGTACCTAACATATATATCAATTCCTAATTTATAAAAATATGAGACTGTCGTAAATTTTGCTATTGTGTCAGTTTATGGAGCTGTTATGGTACCTGTGTATATATTACTACTCAGAAACGTTTTATCCTATGTCAAATAATATTTTGAAGTTCTTTTTCATCTGTTTGTACAGGATTTTCTTATCTTATGAGTAAGTAGGTATAGTAAGAAATCGAAATTCGTAATTGAAAATGTTTTTAGAACACAATAGAAGCAAGATCTTCAGAAAACTTCTCACTTAGGTTCTGCAACAAAATCAAATCTTTAAGTCGACAAAATGCAATACACAAAAGTAGGCCACTAATCGTTTTTTTATTCGCTATGGCATGTACCTACAATTTAACGTCTCTAGAAAAATAATGATAAGTAGTTACGCGTATAGGTACCCATATTACTTAAATATTGCTTAATCAACACAAATTGATTGAATGATTAGTCACAGGTGATCTTGGTGGTGCGTTTATTAAGTTGAATTGGGAAAATGAAATCATACGCCTTTGGTAGCATTTTTTGGATTTGATGGCAGAGCGACGAAGGAAAGAATGAGTTCAACTGATGGAAAAAGACGAGTGTGCAGATTTCCAAATGTTTGTTGTTTATAATTTAGTATATACTAATATAGTATAGATACTGTATTCTTTTTTCTCAAAGATGAAAATCTTTACCCTCGCCTAAGAAACGTAGGGGACCGTCATCATCGGATGCAGGAATTATATTCAAGCAAATCCAATTTATTATTATTTGTATGGCCGCCTCTAACGACGAACCCTTTGGAATTATATCTATAGTGTTAAATCTGACTGTCCCAGTGAATTTAGGTTTCATGGGTTGATCTATGAGACAGTTTAGAATATTCAAAAATTTCTAGATGAAATCCCCTAGTCTGATTGTTTTTGGATTGAACATGCCATGAGAAAAATATTGTTTATATCTAACAGAGATTGGTTACTAAAACAGATTTTTACTGTTACTGTTAGTTATTGTCGAAGCAAGGTGTGTACAACGAAAAAAAACTACTTAGTCACATCAATAATAGAAAATAGGCTGCGTGCTAAGCTGACGGGCTAATATCGTTCTATGTATTTAGCAATAATTGTAATTCTTATTAAATTTATGTATAACCACTAGACCAGTAAGCGTGCGTTCGCGCAGCGGAATGTTGTTGAATTTAAAGATTTTAATTATGCAGATATTTAGTGTATGACGTCGTATAATTGTGTATGGTAAAAAAAAATTTGTGCACGCAACCATTGTGGAGAAATTCACCAAAAACTGATTCCGCTGGGCGAACGTTGTCCTGGCGGAACTTTTTTTAATCCATAGACTTTAGAAGAAAAGAGATGTATCCAAAAATTAGTGTGTATTTGTGTATGATTGTGTATGTATGAATAAAACTAGTGCATGCATAAACTTCTGAGAAATTCAAGTTTCCGCTACGCGAACGTTTGGCCATTAGCTAGTTTTCATATAAAGCGCTTACATAGAGAGCTGTAGATTTTTACACACGTTGTTTTGAATTTGTTTATAATTGTTTAAAAAACAGATTTAGAAAAAATCGTAAGGTTTACAAGATAAAAATATAAACGTAAAATACGCTTATCAGGTCCTAGTTCTTAAAGTATGCACTTTGGGGTCTAGATTTTCACGTTTATACAAACCTTGTAAGTGTCTGCAACATGTTGCCAAGTATCAATGATGTTCCGTTAGTAATTAAATAGTTATAGGACAAATTTACCATGAATAGATCACTGTTTACAAAGCAGTCAAATATCACGACTTTCTAAATGAATTGCATGGTAAAATGTATGCCAGTAATTAGTGTATTCATTCAACTATTCACATGCAAAATTTCATGTCATTAAATTCAGTAATTAAAGAAAAACAATTATAATACTGACGAAGCATCGAAAACCTACATAACCTGACCAAGTTCGGATGGCTACAAAAAAGCGGCTGTGCAATATATTTAGGTAACATCCCAAAATTTACAGTATAATACCGGTATTGAATTGGTACAGGTGATAACACATTTGTTGTTTCGAAATAATTTTTATGTCATTTATTTTTGGACACGTACTTTTTTAAATGTATTTGACTATGACAGAAAGTAGGTACTATTTACGTAGGTACTTTATTTAAGTATGCGCTTGAGACTTGAGATATAATCTAATTATATTTAAGACAAATAAAATTCATACAGCTAGTTTCTATTGAAGATTTCACGGATCAGGATTCTAACTATAGACCCCTTAGGGAAATTAAATATTTACCACATGTAAGTATGTACTACTGTTTAGGTAAATGTTTATCATATTGTAGCTTATTACACTATTTAACCAATAGACTAGGCATGCACGAGCGTTCCCCTTTGCAACTTTAGTGGATCAAACAATCAAATAACTTAAAAAAAACCACTTCTTGAATCGATTTTTTTTTAAAATTGTTTTATTTTTTCCTAACGCTTGTGTACGATACTGTACCATATTAATAAATGCTATATTGAAAAGTTAAGAACGTGTCTTAGATATATGGCACGGCCGCTTTTTTGTAGCCATCCGAACTTGGTCGGGTTATGTAGGTTTTCGATGCTTCGTCAGTATTATAATTGTTTTTCTTTAATTACTGAATTTAATGACATGAAATTTTGCATGTGAATAGTTGAATGAATACACTAATTACTGGCATACATTTTACCATGCAATTCATTTAGAAAGTCGTGATATTTGACTGCTTTGTAAACAGTGATCTATTCATGGTAAATTTGTCATAATTGTCCTATAACTATTTAATTACTAACGGAACATCATTGATACTTGGCAACATGTTGCAGACACTTACAAGGTTTGTATAAACGTGAAAATCTAGACCCCAAAGTGCATACTTTAAGAACTAGGACCTGATAAGCGTATTTTACGTTTATATTTTTATCTTGTAAACCCTACGATTTTTTCTAAATCTGTTTTTTAAACAAATATAAACAAATTCAAAACAACGTGTGTAAAAATCTACAGCTCTCTATGTAAGCGCTTTATATGAAAACTAGCTAATGGCCAAACGTTCGCGTAGCGGAAACTTGAATTTCTCCGAAGTTTATGCATGCACTAGTTTTATTCATACATACACAATCACACACAAATACACACTAATTTTTGGATACATCTCTTTTCTTCTAAAGTCTATGGATTAAAAAAAGTTCCGCCAGGACAACGTTCGCCCAGCGGAATCAGTTTTTGGTGAATTTCTCCACAATGGTTGCGTGCACAAATTTTTTTTTACCATACACAATTATACGACGTCATACACTAAATATCTGCATAATTAAAATCTTTAAATTCAACAACATTCCGCTGCGCGAACGCACGCGACCAGTAACATTTCGTATTATAAAAGGGTGCACTTTTTCGAGTTCCGCTTACAAATATATTAATAAAGGTAGATTGACGAAGACAAAGAAATAGGTATGTGACAATTTTGACGATTCACTTTCTCTTTTCTCTAATTAACTAAGTTATTTG